AATCGTCAACATAAAATTTCGATTTAAAGCTTTCGTGCCTGGAGGGATTCATCTTCTTGGTTCTTTCGCTGTCTCCCCGACAGACCTGGTCTTCACCTGAGGACAGCTGCTTGCGTTGTGGCCGAAACGTCGTGAGAATTATTTTATTATGTTTTATTTTATTATCCCCATTCTACGTGACTTTACCGAAAGAACCAATAAGAATCGTCAACATGTTTCTCACTCGTCCGTGAATGCAATATGACCACACAAAAAAATAGCATTTTACAACACTTATGTGGATTCGCCACTTGAAGAAGAAATCCCAATTGTCATGCCGATCATGGGGACTTCATGGCCAATCTTCACCAAACTCGTTGGTGCGGCTTTGTGGAGGGTGTGTTCCTCCACGGACTGGTTCGGATCTCCATTGGAACCTCATTTGCCAGAAGAAAAAATATGATAATTGTTTTTTTACCCTTTTATCTGGCAACAAAACTGACACCTTTTTTTACAAGGAGTCATGTTTGCATAGACCACAATACCTGCAGTCGTCATGCAAACAAAAAACATAACCCTGATAATGTATGCACTGTCCTTGAAGTTGATTGGTCCACACCCGACACAGCTTTCCTTAGAGCCTAGTCTCACATGGTGTTGGACCAGATGACGCCAAAAGGCGCACAACTAAAAAACAATGCACCATCAGAGTATGAGAGCTCGGGGTAAGCATTTACACCATTGGTTCGGATCTCACTCGCCACTGATCCTAGCCATCTGGGAGAAAACATAATTCAAACAATAAGCATACATTCCTAACAGAGAACAAATGCCAGCAATGTCCTTGCAGGTTGCAAATCTCCTGGGATGTATATGGGCTCTATGAAGATGGGTGCAGCAGGCCAGGAAACTCAGGGATGGTGGGAATTGTGATGTCTAGCTCAAAGAGAGCAGTCGTAACATGTTGCACACCGTTTATGGCTAGTGGTAAAATTCTTTAATTGTAAAGCGTTCGTGCAACTGAGCTTTACCCGTTAGTACGGAGCAATGTTTAACATTTATGCGTCATAATTCACAGCGCTGCAGGCAATGAAGTTAAGTTTCTGCTTACGTCTTAGAGGCTTAATTATTGTGGGCTTATAACTAATCTTAAGAAACACACAACAGGGCTTTTATTGAAACAATGCACATGCCAGGTCTGGGAATGTTGAGCCTTTCTTACGAGCACAGTACCGTTGCTATCCGCCACTGCTTAATCTGTAAGCCAATTTCGCCTCTCGTTAGCAAGAAAAAAACAATCACCGATTGAAGCACAAAATTTTAAACACATTGTCATTGACAGTGGCCTGCAACAGAAAGATATGTGTACACACAATAGCGAGCCAACGCGGGCAGTGTCACTGACCCTTCCTCAAAAGGCAAGGGCAGAAATGTTATTCTATAGCATAGTATATACGTGGAGTATATTTTATTTCTGTTGTGAAGCAGTGTTAATGATGAAATTGTCCAAAACGTTGTTGATTATGTACGTAGTATATCTATTTTAAGGCGGTGTTGTTAACGAGTGATATTTTAACGTTAACGATGAATGTATTACGTTCTTTTTTAATGCGTTCTGCTGCAGCCCGTATTTTATACAAAATAACATTTTTATATTATACTACAGTAATTGAATGTCAAAATTAACCAACAAAAATAATTCAGTCTGAAAATGGCTCATTATCAGTGCCTCTGTTGCATATTTCAATGTGCGGAGATAGATGAAACATGCTTGACATTCCACAAAACCCCTGGCCGATAAGGTCCTTCGTAAAGACTTTGCAGTGCTCCAAAAACCGCAACTTGGAATGGCCTTTTCAACACGCTCCAGCACCAACTCCCTTTCGCAAGTTCATTCATTAATCTCCTTACACGCAAATATAAAGATCCCCCGTATAGTTTCAACAGACTGTTGGGGTAAGTGCTGTTAGCGAGCACATACGAAGGCCGGCACGACACACGAGGGGGTGGGTGGTCAGCACCACGCCCGACCGCCGTTGTCTTCCGAGTGCCGATATTTACACACCGCACCAGGTACTCATTTGAGACTGAGTCGACCTAGGGGAGGCCCAGGAACGGTTCGGATCATCGTCACTGTTGTTGGCTGAAAGCGGGAATCGAACTTGGGTCGACGGATTCGTAGCGCAGTGCGGTAACCGCTAAACTACCACTCCCCCATCATATTCATTCATCCATCCTTGATAACGGCGTGGGCGTGTGGGTGGTGATTAATAGGTCTACCGAGAAAGCCATTGAAGATACTTTTTGTGGTTTATAAGAATATGTGCCTCTGGCTCTCATAATGATTAAATTAGTGAATAAACTATTTATTGACCTCGTGTGTTGCAAATGTATGTGCTCATTTACATAACATGGTCTTTTTATAGTTTTTGTGTGCAGAAATATCACTGTACATTACCCACCTCTGGAAGAAACAAGATGAGTCGGTCTTCACTTGAAACATTTTATTATTATTTCTTGGTGGGGTCAGTGACATAACAATCATGTTTAATCACACGAGGGGAATGTGTGTGTGTGTGTGCGTACTTCTGTATTCATATAAATGTAGATATCAGATGTAACCAACCCGCACTGACCAACATAAATTGTGGTCAAACAACTCACCACGACTGATATTTTGTGGCGATTCGTCTAGCAATGGATCGACAAAGGCCCGTGCATTATTATAATGATCACGTATTATACTTCTGTGCTGTACACGGTAATCACTATTTAATATGTATACTGTCATATTTAATTATATACTTACGTAACAATCCAATGTCCTTTAAATAGGACAAAGTTTGATGACATCTGTCATCTTTTGGGCAAGTGGAAACTGGGGAAGGTAACCATCCTTCGCTGGTCCTTGAAATTGAATACAAATTTGGGAATCTAACTCAGCCTATGTATCTGTATAACTAACACAAAACTCAACAAATAAAAATATATAATGGGCGACGTTTCTGGAAATGACCCTTATCTCTGCAGTGAATTTAAAAACAAATATAGCTCGTGTATGTTATTGTATTGACATGTATTATGCAAAGCATAATATTGTGCAGCCTATGATGTATATATATACATGCGTTCTACATACAGTACAAGAACATGCAGGACTTAATTTCTCACTGAATATCTTCAAGGATCGCAGATAACACTGGAGTAAGTCCGTGACAAAAGTAGCGAGGGGCATACTGGATGTGGTATACCGGGCCAGGGCACATTTTCCAGACCGTTGACCCCGGACACCCCCGGCTGAAATTAATCCACGATGATGCATGGATGGTTGTAAACAGAGAGGGCGTAATTTCAACCGGAGCTGTCCAGGGCTGAACTCCGAAAAAAACATGTGAATTTCTCTCACCCCCATTATTGGTGGTATCGATACATAGCCCATGCTATATGTGATGATGAGTGCCCACGCGTGTGATGGGTGAGTGTCCACACGCGTGTTTGATGGTGAGTGTCCACACTGTGTGTGTGTGATCATGAGTGTCCACACTGTGTATGATGATGAGTGAGTGGGGGAGCGGTAGTGTAGTGGTTAGCACACTGCGCTGCGAACACGTCGACCGGGGTTCGATTATCTGAACCGGTCCCGGCCCTCGTCCTAGGTCGACTCGGCCTCAAATGAGTAACCGGGTGCTACGGTGTAAACATCGCCACGAAGGAGACAAAGGTGGCTGGGTGTGGTGCTGGCCACCCACCCCCTTGTGTGTGGTGCTGACCTTCTCGTAGGTGCTACTCGCTCACGCCACTGCTCTGTGTACAAAGGGAAAGATCTCGCGTGTAGTCTGATTATAGATTGTTGGGGCAAGTACTGTTAGCGAGCACCTATGAAGGCCGGCACCCACACACAAGGGGGTGGGTGGCCAGCAACCACGCCCGTCCACCTTTGTCTCCCTCGTGGCGATGTTGACACATCGCACCAGGTACTCATTTGAGGCCGAGTCTACCTAGGGCGAGGCCCGGGACCGGTTCAGATACCCGGGTCGTCGTGTTCGCAGCGCAGCGCGATAACCACTACACTACCGCTCCCCCACTCACTCATCATCACACATAGTGTGGACACTCACCATCACACACACATCACCAACACCCACACACGGACACACACCATCACACACACACACGTGGACACTCACCATCACACACAGTGTGACACTCACCATCACACAGTGTGGACACTCACCATCACACACACATCACCAACACACACCATCACACACACACCATCACACACACACACGTGGACACTCACCATCACACACACGTGGACACTCACCATCACACACACCATCACACACACCATCACACACACACGTGGACACACATGACACACACACACGTGGACACTCACCATCACACACACGTGGACATTCACCATCACACACACCATCACACACACACACGTGGACACACATGACACACACACGTGGACACTCACCATCACACACACGTGGACACTCACCATCACACACACCATCACACACACACACGTGGACACACATGACACACACACACGTGGACACACACCATCACACACACCATCACACACACCATCACACACACCATCACACACACACACGTGGACACACATGACACACACACACGTGGACACTCACCATCACACACACCATCACACACACCATCACACACACCATCACACACACACGTGGACACACATGACACACACACACGTGGACACACACCATCACACACACCATCACACACACACCATCACACACACACCATCACACACACACACGTGGACGCACATGACACACACACACGTGGACATTCACCATCACACACACCATCACACACACCATCACACACACACGTGGACACACATGACACACACACACGTGGACACTCAAGACGCACCACTCTCTCCCCCCTCCCTCGGCGTCTGTGCCCGTGCCGCCTGCAGGAAGTCGCATCAGCGCTGCGAGACCCGCCTCCATCCCTCCCTCCCCTACCCCGCAGCAACAACCACGCTCATCACATCCTTCTCTCGCTCCCCTACCGCGCAAAACCCACACTCATCACATCCTTCTGTCCCTCCCTCCCTCTCCTATCTTCTTATTCTCCTTCCTGCCTTTCCATCCGCCAGTTCTTGCGGTCTGTGTGTGTGTGTGTCACACATGCGTCGTGTATATGTCTACATGTGAGGCTGTCGCTGGCTGGTGTGTCCCTGTGGGATGGTGCCTCGTCGCTGGCTCCAGAGACACGGAGCAGACGAGGAGGTGAGGACGCGGAGATGATTGGGGTGGGGGGGGATAAAAAGCCATTGTTGTCATTGTAGCATTGTTACATCGTCGTCGTCGTCGTCGCAATTGTCTCTTGACGTACGTGGAGTATTAGGCAGAGGGAGCCCCTAAGCAATGAGACCTCCTCCCTCACCCCTCCCAAACGTGTTGGTGTGTCGTGTGGGATGGTATAAGTGGGTCATGCCTTCACCGCTGCGCGTACACAGGTTAATGATGTACGTGTGTATGTGTATCTTAATGATACCTATAGGTCTGGGTAGACCTTAATGTGTTGTACACACACACATATACACACATACACACACATGTGTGTGTATATGCCTCTTATTAATCTTTATAGCTCTGGGTGGACCTTAATGTGTTGTACACATAGACACACACACGTGTGTATGTGTACAACACGTATGTGTGTGTATGTGCCTCTTAATTATATCTATAGCTCTGGTTGGACCTGAATGTGTTGTACACACACACATAGACACACACGTGTACACACACACACACACACGTGTACACACACACACACGTGTTGTACATACACACACACACGTGTTGTACATACACACACACGTGGTGTACACACACACACGTGTACACACACACGTGTACACACACACACGTGTTGTACACACACGTGTACACACACACACACGTGTACACACATACCCACACATACACACACACACGTGTACACACACACATCGTTCTTCTTGACGGCGCTTGGCCTACTCTTCCAGAGACGTCTTGGGCAGTGGGATGGGATCGTGGCGGAAGGAGGAGGGGGGGGGGGGCCTTCATCCAGCAGTGGATAAACCATGGATGTCTTTGATGATGAGATTGTCATACACACAGGATACACAATATATACACATACAGGCTACGCACGGCAGAGTAGACGTAACGTAGCCTTCACAATACCCGTGTACATCCATTACTTACACGTTGTTTACACACTTGACATAAGACACGCAATGTATTTCCATAGGCTACAACACTACACTTTGAATAACCATGCACTCTTTAGAGTGTGTACAGTAACAATTCGTTCCCTCTCCCGTGTGATATACATCAATGATGCATATTGCCCCCCCCCAAGTGTGATGTTACTGAGCACGAATTATAAGAAATGCACCCCCTGCGTTCTTACATGTGCATGTACCGTACGAGATCATGTTTTATCTATGGTGATATTTAGTCACTGTATCGTCTCCCACGCGAGTTGCACTATCTGCAGTACCCCGTAGAATTTGCTGTGTGCCTTTGTGTCTTATTCATTATCAGCTTGTGTCTACGAGTTTCTCGATTTTCCACACGATCATCATAACCACAACCACCACCATCATCATCATCGCCATCATGAATCATTGTTACTGTCTTCATCATTAACCCACACCATTATTGCCATCATCACTACCATTCTCATCATGACCACCACCTCATTCACCATCATCACATCGTCGTTGCCATTCTCATCACTACCAGCTTGACACCATCACCACCATCGTTTTTATGACCATCACCACCACCACCTTCATCATGACCACCACCATGATTGTCATCTTTATAATCAGTCAGCACCACCACCTTCATCATGTCCATCACCATCATTGTCATCTTCATAATCAGTCAGCACCACCGTCATCATGTCCACCACCATCACTGTCATCTTCATAATCAGTCACCACCACCACCTTCATCATGTCCACCACCACCATTGTCATCTTTAGAATCAGTCAGCACCACCACCACCACCTTCATCATGTCCACCATCATCACTGTCATCTTCAAAATCAGTCAGCACCACCACCATCACCTTCATCATGTCCACCACCATCACTGTCATCTTCATAATCAGTCAGCATCACCACCACCACCTTCATCATGTCCACCACCATCATTCTCATCTTCATAATCAGTCAGCATCACCACCATCACCTTCATCATGTCCACCACCATCACTGTCATCTTCAAAATCAGTCAGCACCACCACCATCACCTTCATCATGTCCACCACCATCACTGTCATATTCATAATCAATCAGCACCACCACCACCACCTTTATCATGTCCACCACCATCATTGCCATCTTCATAATCAGTCAGAACCACCACCGTCAACATGTCCACCACCATCATTGTCATCTTCATAATCAGTCAGTACAACCTCCACCACCACCGTCATCATGTCCACCACCATCATTGTCATCTTCATAATCAGTCAGCACCACCACAACCTTCATCATGTCTACCACCATCATTGTCATCTTCATAATCAGTCAGCACCACCACAACCTTCATCATGTCCACCACCATCATTCTCATCTTCATAATCAGTCAGCACCACGACCACCACCTTCATGTCCACCACCATCATTATCATCTTCCTAATCAGTCAGCACCACCACCACCATCATCATCACCGCCAATTATAATGCTCGCCCACACCACCACCACCATCATAATCATCAGCCAGTGTCTACCCACTGCTGGATGAATGCCTCCCCACGCTGCCCCTTATGCGAATGTAAATGAGCCATAATGCCTACGAGAGCCTCTCCGACATGACACGACACGATATCTCTGCAGGACTGTGCCTATACACAGACGTGTGTGTGTGTGTGTGTTGCCCTGCCATGGAACACCATGTACAGTAGTGCTGTGGTCGTCTTGCCTCACATAGGAGGCAAGAACACCCAGAGGAGGAGGAGGGCTGTGAGTGGCGTTGCAGCCGTGTTGCGTCGTGGCTGGCATTAATGTTTTGCCCCAAGGCTTGCAGTGGATGAGCTGTCACTGTGTGTGTACGTGTGTGTGTGTAAGAGTTAAGGGTTTGTGTGTATGTCTGACAGCCAGTGTTGCGTGTGTGAGAGTGTGTGTGTGTGAGAGTGTGTGTGTGTGAGAGTGTGTGAGTGTGTGTGTGTGAGAGTGTGTGTGTGTGTGAGAGTGTGTGTGTGTGTGAGAGTGTGTGTGTGTGAGAGTGTGTGTGTGTGAGAGTGTGTGTGTGAGAGTGTGTGTGTGAGAGTGTGTGTGAGAGAGTGTGAGAGTGAGTGTGTGTGTCTGTGTGTGTGTGAGAGAGTGAGTGAGTGTGAGAGTGTGTGTGTGAGTGTGTGAGTGAGTGTGAGAGTGTGTGTGTGTGTGAGAGTGTGTGAGAGTGTGTGTGTGAGTGAGTGTGTGTGAGTGTCTGTGTGCGTGTGAGAGAGTGTGAGTGTGTGAGAGCCAGTGAGTGTGAGAGTGTGTGTGTGTGTGAGAGTGTGTGAGAGTGTGTGTGTGAGAGTGTGTGTGAGAGTGAGTGTGTGTGAGTGTCTGTGTGCGTGTGAGAGAGTGTGAGTGTGTGAGAGCCAGTGTCTGTGTGTGAGTGTGTGTGTGAGTGTGTGTGTGAGTGAGTGTGTGTGTGAGTCTGTAGGGAGCGGTGGTGTAGTGGTTAGCGCACTGCGCTACGAACCTAGCGACCCGGGTTCGATTTCCGCTCACGGTCAACATCAGTGACCATTATCTGAACCGGCCCTGGCCCGCCCCCAGGTAGACTCAGCCTCAAATGAGTACCTGGTGCGATGTGTAAACATTGCCACTGGGGAGACAAAGGCGGCCGGGCGTGGTGTTGGCCACCCACCCCCTCGTGTGCCATGCCGGCCTTTATAGGTGCTCGCTAAGAGCACTTGCCCCTACAGTCTGTTAAGGCTATACGGGGGATCTTTATCTTTGTGTCTGTGAGAGTGTGTGTACAGTCCATGTGTTTTTGAACGCCCACAGTGTACACGTGGTTTTGAGAGCCAGTGTGTATATGTGAAAGAGAGAGAGTGTGTGTTAGTTTTACTGTGTGTGTGTGAGAGAGTACATGATGTATAGGTAATAATATGTGGTGGGAAGACAAGGTGCGTAACAACAATAATATTCCTCTACAGTAGTATAAAAACAAAAACTGAAATCCACCACAACGACAATATGAAAAAAAAATCATAAAATTTCAACATTTCCGAAAGCGACCACAATAAAGCATTAAGACAGCTGCCTACTGTCATCAGAGAGCCTTGTGTATAAAAACACACACTGCGTTTGTACACAAAGCTATGTGTATGTGTGTGTATGTATGTGTGTGTATGTATATGTGTGTATGTATATGTGTGTATGTATGTGTGTGGCTAGAATCATGGTGATGGCATCATGACTGACGCTGCCTGCAGGCAACCGCACATCGACAAAAGGCCCTCTCCACCACCTCCCCGTTTAGCCTTAAACAAGTGATGTCAGTGAGCCCGAACGGCATACGAGATGGGGCCGAGTGCGGTCATCGCCACGCCACCCGACCGCCTTTGTCTCCCCAGGAATCATTTGAGGCCGAGTCGACCTAGGGGAGGAGGCACCCAGGACCTGGGATCAGATGGTGGCCGTGAGCCGGTATCGAACTCGCTCCCAGCACAGCACAAGATCTTACCTCTCGCTTTAACAATGGTTTCGAGCAAGCTGCCGGAAGGGATTCTGTTTGTGTTGACATTCTTGATGCGGTGGCATTGAGAAATGTACAACAAAAATAAACCCACAAACAGTGTTGTCAGGAAATGTTTCGTTACTAGAAAAAAAATGTTTTACTTGAGCCTGGGATATCAGCTGGTCAATTACGCTTGTGCCGCTTTCGAATCGACGCTTGTGGTTAAAATGACAATGTTTAGCTTTAAATTTCGATTTAAAGCTTTCGTGACTGCAGGGATTCATCTTCTTGGTTCTTTCGGTAAAGTCACGTAGAAGGGAAATAATAAAATAATAAAAATTAAACATAATAAAATAATTCTCACGACGTTTCGGCCACAACGCAAGCAGCCGTCCTCAGGTGAAGAACAGACAGACCTTTTCAGGTGAAGAACAGACAGACCTGTTCTTCACCTGAGGACGGCTGCTTGTGTTGTGGCCGAAACGTCGTGAGAATTATTTTATTATGTTTTATTTTTATTATTTTATTATTTCCCTTCTACGTGACTTTACCG